TGCCAATTGATAAATAGTGTGGAATATTATTTTGAAGAATAATGATTTATTGAAAATGATCGTATATATTTAAGGCACCTATTAATGTTTCTTGAATAATTTGCAAAAAAAAAAAATTTAAATTAGTAGTATTATTGATAATATACCTTCATAAGCTTTGTCAAAAAAGATATATAAAATAATTTGGCTGGAACAAATTTTTTACGGTTATTATGATGTATCACATAATTAATCAGAACTCATTTGAAAACTGAAATTATTAAGGTTATAAATATTTTGTATCTGATTCCTTGTGAGGACACAAATTATGATTTGAATTTGTATTTTTTTATATATAAATGTGAATAACTTTTACGATTTTATCGATATAAGTATAAATCATACATTTGAGTCAACCCACATTAAATGCTTTTTTTGTATAATAAAATACTTAAATATTGTCATATAAAAGTATTATAATAAATCATAATAAAATATCACTTGAAACGTAATTAAAGACTTCCTACACCACCTTAAACATAACAAAAAACATAAGAAATTAATAAAGACTTTTTAATTAATAACCAAAATAGTGTTTGATTCACAAGATTAATAGTGAAGTATTAATAATCCTATTAAATTAGTGTGGTATTCACTATCCAATTGGATTAATATTCATTGGATTAATAATCCCACCCCTACCCCATTACTAGTAATCCTACAAATTTGTTGGATTAATTATCCATTGGATTAATAATCCTAAACCAAAGTGTTAAAACAAACATAAGATAATTGGGCCCTCGGATTAATAATCCTAATCCCATGCTCTAATCCAACCAATCAAACATGCCCCATGAGTTATAACCAAGTCATAATTGATATATTAGAAAAAATTTCGTTGTTTTTATTTATTTTTTAAATATATATTTTGATACAAGTGGAATTCTTGTTTTTTTGATAAATTTAATTAACACAAATGAGGATTTGATTTTAGGCTGAGAATACATTTTTAATTTATTTATTTTTTTAAAAAAGAAGTTTTTATGAGCCTACTTCACATATCAACCATTAGCATATTTATCTATATTTGACTTTCTATTTTTAAAATTTTCAACACATAAAATATTAAGACACAAAATTAATTTTTCATTTTAAAAATAAATTCCCGTACGGGTCACCTACTAATTTAGATCACAAATTCACCTATATTGACTTGATTAAGGAAGGTATGCATAAAAAGGGTACACACTATGTCATTACGTATGTAATAAATTAAAAACTAATATCTATCTTACTATTTCAATGTTAGTCAAATTGAAAAATATTTTGTAAATCTCAAATATCTTTGTTTTCTTATTTATATTCATTGCCGTTGACACATTTGGAAATAATCCATGGTCAAACAACCAACATAAGCTCCGTTTGGGAAGTAAGTTAGCTTTTTAGTTTTTTAGTTTTTTTTGACTATTTTAATATGGGACTAAAAAGCTTATTTTGTGAAGGATTTTTAATTTTTTTGACTTTTTTGTGAGAGAATAATATAATGATTATGGGTTAAATGTGATATTTTGTCTTATTAAGCTAAAAACCTATTTTATTTTTTGTAACTATTTTAACCAAACAAATCCACAAACCAATTTCTCAAACGAAGCTATAGTAACATAACAAATTTTATAGGCCTTGTTTAGGGTGTCTTAAAAAAGTCAAAAAGTTAAAAAGTAACTATCCTATTTAAGTCATATCATCTTATTTAAATCACGTCACCTCTCTACCACATCACTTTAAATCCAATCCCAAACAACTCCGGGGATTAAATGCATAAAAGAGAGTGAATGTGTATACATTTAAGTGGGAATTAAATGCTTTATTTTAAAAACTAATGAGGGTCCGTTTGGGAATGGCTTTTCTGGGTTTTTTTGGTTATTTTAGCCACAAAAGACAAAATAGGCTATTTTAGCCACAAAAAACAAAACATCACATCCAACTCATAATCATTACATTCTTCTCTCACAAAAAAAATCAAAAAAGCCAAAAAGTCCTTTCCAAACCAAGCTTTTTAGTCCAGACTAAAATAGTCAAAAAAAAGTCAAAAAGTTAAAAAACCAACCCACTTCCCAAACGGGGGCTGATACATAATTTTTTAACGAAATTATTCACACAAATATAATTCACATGAGCCCACACATCTCACTTTAAATGAGACCTCTTATTTTTTTAGATCGAGTTGGTATTTTTATTTTTATATATTTTATAAAATTATTTACAAATCAAACGGAAAGGTAGGGTCCATCTGTATCATATATGGCCCCACACAAATAAAATTCAAAAACACATAATTGTTTCACAAACGGCAATGGTATAAATACAAAATTTTCTATTAACTCATTTAAGTGAGGATTAAATGCTTTATTTTTTTTTAACGAAATTATTCACACAAATATGATTCACATTATTTTTTGTAAAATTATTTATAAATTAGACTGAAAGATAGGATCCACATGTATCATATGTAGGTCCCATACAAGTGAAACTCTAAAACACATTAACTGTTTCACAAATAAATGTTAGAGTAATGCTAGAGACCCCAAATATTCTACTAAAAGTTTTACTAAATGTCTCACATGGGTGTGGGACTCACACAATGTGGGTCCCATGTGGGTCCCACACCCATGTGAGACATTTGGTAAAACTTTTGGTAGAATTTTTGGGGCCTCTTGCATTTTTGTAAATGTTATGAATACAAAATTTTCAATTAATTCCTCTAGCTTGTTTTGTTTCATTTTTCTGAAAACAGTTTTCAAAAAATTATACTTTCTTATTTTTTGTATTTTTTTATTTTTATTGAATTTTTTTAATATTTTAAGCAAATTTTTTTTAGACACACTTAACATAAATACACATGAAAAGTATAAATTTTGTGAAAAAAATATTTTAAAAGTTCAATAAATATCAAGAAATACAAAAATTTAGTATATTTTTTGTATTTTTATGTATTTGCTAATTTTTTAAAATATTTTTTCACAAATTTTTTACTTTTTAGATATATCTAAGTAAGGTACATTTAAAAAAGTAAAAAGTGCTTAAAATATTAAAAACATTCACTAAAAACGAAAAAATACAAAAAATAAAAAACTTAGTTTTAAAAAAAACTTAATCTAGAAAACTCAAACCAAGCACACTCGTCATAAAATAATGGTCTTTTTTTGATAGTTCAAATTTTTTTGATAGTATAATTATTATATTTTTAAAATATTAATTTTTTAAAATTATCTTTTGATAGTTCATTTTTTAGATAATACCAATTGTCATAATTGTTCCTTTTGTTTTATTAATGAATTTAAAAGAATGACAAAATAGTAAATTTATATTCTATTTTAGAAAAATAACTAATATTTTGAGATAATAAAAAATAAAATTAAAAATTAATATTTTGAAACGGATGGAATAATTTTTGTAGCACTTACTCACATAAGGTAGAAATTTTAATAAAAAATTTAAAATCTCTAACATTTTTATTTCACAAATTAAAAAATGAGTGAGATCTCTTTTTTGGAGGATCCTGCAATTTCTAAAGTGATCCACACCACTCATAATGTGTAGAATTCACTCATGTATGTGTGTGGCTCACATGATGGGACCTCTAAAAAGGATGTCTTGTAACAAATTATATCCAAATAGTACGGCCCACATGTGGGTCCCACATAGGGGAACACTTGGGCCCCATAATCCCTGTATGATCTGTGAATAATTTTGTAAAAAATTGTTTTGGTTTGGAAAATTAGTTATTTTAGTAGATTATTTTAATTTTTAAATATTTTAATAGGTTAAAATTTTTATGTTTAAGAAGATGCTTAGATTTTTTTAGTTAAATGTGATATTTGTGAAAAAAAAAATATAATTATGAATTTTATATGATATTTTATCTCATTCACTACGTTAACCTATATTATCTTTTATAAATTTTAATTTAAAAAAAAAAAATCCAAAACCCGCTTGCCAAACAGAGTGTTTGTATCACAACTTTTATTTTATGATTTTGAGCATACAAAACAGGGGTGTTTATAGCATTATTGACTATAAAAATAAAAAAATGTAAGAAGCTCTAATAGTAACTGACAAATCTTATAAATTTGATTATACATATGGAGTCCTTTCTATATGGCTCTGTTTGGCAAGTTGTATTTTTAGTATTTTTTTTTGGCTAAAATAATTAATAAAAATAAAAAAGTTAAAATATTAATAAGATAAAATATTACATTAAATTCAAAAAATCAATTACCTACCCAAATACAATTATTTTAGTCAAGTTAAAATAGTTAAAAAAATTAAATAGTCAACTTTCTAAACAAGTCCAAATATATATATATATATATATATTATATTTGTAAAGAAGGATACTCATTTATAATAGGTGCAAATCTTCAATGAGATTCCTTATAAGAAGATTATTAAAGGGGGAATTTATAATTAAAATTTTGATATATGCATAAAAAATAGGGAAAAAAAGAGAATAATTTGAAATCGATTCATTTACGATTTTCATAAACTATCTCAAATTTTGGTTTAAAAAAAAATTGCGAGAGTTAATTTGGATAAGAATGAAGAATAATTAACCGTTTAACTCATCTAATCAATTAAATTTTCAAAACAATGCATATCGAATAACTGTTTAACTGACGTGATCAATTAAATTCTCAAAATACAATATTCTGAATAACCGTTTAACTAACGCAATCAACTAATTTTCAAAACAACGTACTCTAAACAACCGTTTAACTAATTCGATCAACTGATTTTCAAAAAAGTATATTCCAAACAATTTTTTAAATGTTCATCAAAGAAGAACCAAACAACCTCAATTAATACATATTTACCAAACATTTTTTTATTTAAAAAAAGTAAAATTAAATAATAAAAGTAATAATAATTTGATGATAGGAGTATGAACAGAAAAGAAAAAAGAGTCTATCCTATCTACTCATAACTAGGCGCGAAATGAGAAAAAGGAAATATTATATATAGGGGTCTTTACTGACATGAAAACGCACCAACGACACACTAGAGAAGAGTTGAGGTTGCAGACGCAAACAGAGCGTCTCCGAATTGGTCCGCTTCTCTGAAACCACAGCCCTAGGTTTCACTCTCCGACCTCTTTCATGGAGTCTTGGCCGCCGATCGCCAGTTACAAGTGACTCTCTGTCCTCTCTCTCTCTATGTATGTCTTTGTCATATTTATATCTATATCTATATATATGTGTGTATATGCGATTTTGATCGGGAATCGGTGCAGGGAAAGGGTGTTCGTTGGGACTAGTTCATCGTATATGGACCCCAACGTCGTTGAAATCTCTCAGCCGGTGTTTTTTAGTTCGACATCCCAATCGGTTGATCAAAATGGGGTAAATAAGAGTTTATGTTTAATGTTTGATATACGTACGTTTGATTGATTGCATGGAGTGAGTTTATTTTTAATTTTTTTCTTATTCTTTAATGGTGTTGAGAATGTGATTAATCTGATTACATTTGAGCCGTTACTGATGAGTAGAATTGGGTTTGAATTTTTTCCATTTTAGTTGTAGCTAAGGTTCTTGTATTGGTTAGATCTTGATCTTCCTGTGGATTTGTTGTTTGTGTATCTGATAGAATCAAATTTGGACCAAATTTGGTTCAATGCCCGGAATTAGTCTTTACAGTAACAGATAATTGTGTCTCGTTTGATGCTTGTTGTTCCGTCATTGACATTTGGTAGATTGTTATTATTGGTGTGTGATTTATTTGGAGTGTTTGGGTTTTGAAGGTAGTTTTTTTCTTTTTTTCTTTTCATTCTTTTAAAAAATATAATGACCTTTAGGCTGTGTTTGGTTAATGTTAATGAATTGGTGATTTGGGGAGAGATTTGAAAATGGAAAAGGAAATGGAAAAGATAAGTGAAATGTGAATGAAATAAAACTATATTTCATTTGCATTTCACACACCTTTTCCCGCTCTCTTCCAAATCCCTACCAAAATCTATGTTTCAAGCACAAATTCCTATCCAAATCTATGATTCAAGTACAACATTAGTAGGATGTGGTGTTTGATGAGGCACTTTATTTTGGGAAATGAAATGGTAAAATCCAGTTGATAGGGAATGACGTGGTCATGTAGGGTTGACCAAGACATTTGACACACCAAAGATGCATCATACGTAAATTCTGTAGGGCCGTGATGCAGCCCCCAACAGGGCAGAGGCAGTTTTTAATTTTTCATTAATTCAGGTGGAAAAATTTATACTACGAAAGGTGATTTCATAAATGCCCTATTTTGTTGGAAAGAGCCATATTAATTACATTTTGATTTTGATTTTGATTTTTTTTTTTGGTTTTGCAAAGTGCATTACATAGATATGCAGTTATACACACACGAGACGAAAGTATGAATGCATGTCTTTATGTATTGGTAATATCATTTGGGATTTAGGGATATATCTATTATCTGCTTGTAATTTCAATTATGGCCACAAACGTAAGGAATCATGTAATATAAAAAAGACTTAAAAAAAAATCAAGGTTATTGCTGTTATTCAACCAAAGAGAAAAAAAGTAACTAGTAATCACAACTTCCGAGGAACACTCCCAAATTGATTGGATAACTAAGAACTCAATTATGAGAATCAAGTAACTCAAATTTTAGTATTATATTCATTGCAACTGTCTTTTTCAATGATTTAGCTAAAAGCTCTATGAAGCAACTGACCTGTGCTCATCAATGGAAAAAGTTTTAGTATATCTTAAAGTAGAATGTGACTAGTTGCCATAGTTAGGGTGCTAATATGAAAACAAGGAGGGATCAGTGTAAGCAAGAGACTCATTGCCTTAATTTTACAAACCAAAATAGAAAACAAATTAATTTTGCAAATTGAAAACCAAAGCTGGCAGGTAAACATCACGTCCAACTTGGTGAACATCAACCTTAATTATCCTTAGTTTTGGGTGTCTCGATATCACATTCTCTTTCTTTTCTTTCACATGGCATTGAGTCACAAAAGGAAGATGTATACCAACTCAAAGACGCTCATATATATACAAAAAGTTCTCCAAATTCTGCTGGCCACCCCCTCTCTCCACCCCTAGCCCTAAGGCTCAACTTACCTACCAAGTGCATTCCCATGATATGACCTTCAACGATTAATCATGGGCATAGTGGGTAGTTGGAAAAACTCTAGATTGTCAAACTGAGGGGTTAAGCCACTTGTCCCGTAGCATGGCACACTAATCCTTGGTTGAGTTGGCCCCATGGTTCAACTCCCCAATGTAAAGGGGACCTCCTTCATGCATGCAAGACAACAAAAAAAGCCATCACCCTCTCTGGCGAAGTTTAGAAGTTCTTTCTCCACTGCAATCCTCTCTCCTACCAGGGTTGTCCGAGCTCTCACCTCCTCTACCACCGGTGGTTCCTTGCCATATCAATGCTTACCATTTTTCCCTGGGGTCACTGCCCACATCAACTTTTCATCTGGATTTGTGTCGTTGTTTACACGTGCCTGAGTTAATGCCTGTTTGTGTTTTGAAAGTTTGTTTCTCTTACCAATAGTAATTGATGAGGAAACTGATTTTTTGTAGGTTATTCTCCATGAAGTAATTGATATTGACGTGGATGAGGATTCTGGAGATGTGATGCTCCTCGATGAGAACATTGACACACATAACAACGGGAAGGTAATTAAAATGTTATTGGCAGTTCCTTTGGATAATAAAGTTTTCTGTATACAATTAAATGCCCTAAACTCCTCGCTAATCATTGGTTGCTCTCTGAGCTGTAGTTGTTTGTTGTTTTTATTTTTTTAACTGTTCTTTGTTTTTTAGTTATTATACAGTAAATGTGCTTAGTAATACCTTTTCCCTCTTTTTTTAGGAAGCTTTGGTCATTTTTCCGTATGGTCATGGTAATTCAGAAATGCCTGAATTAGTAGATGGAGTTCAGTTTTCTAAGGGGTGCCCTGTCCCAGGACTGCATGATTCTTTTGATCTAGAACGTTTCAATAATGATTTTTCTTATATTGATGACTCCTATATGGATATGTATCATGAATTTCTGCAAGCCCATTTTGATGCCGCAAATGTTCCTCCCGCAGTTGAGGCTTTTATTCCTTCGTTTTCTGATCCTGCTCAGAATAAAAAGAATCCAGCTACTGTAATTAGTTCAAACCAATCAAGTTTTTCAAACCAATTTGAGGCCCCTGAGACAGACTCGTCTCATCCTTGGGGGTTGCAACTCGTGCAAAATGGAGAAAATTCAACTTTCATGAACATTTCAAGTTTGCAAACCCACATGGACACTCTGAGTTCAACCTTGCAAACCCACATGGATGCTCTGAGTTCAACCTTGCAAGCCCACATGGATGCTCTGAGTCACTCTTACAAGTTTGATCTGTCTTCGTCTTGGCCCTTTCCAGAATCTTCTCAGAATATGAAGTCGGCTGCTTCAACTAGTTCAATTGATTTGAACTTACAAGCAGAAAACGGTGCTACATATCATCCAACTGAATTTAAATTTAGCAGCATACCAGAATTTTCCCATATTGAAAAGAAGCCTGCTGTTTCTGGTAGTACAACTAATTATACCTCAGATAACCATCCGTGGACTATGAAGCTCTCTTCTGGAATGGACCCATCTTCTAAAAATTTTTATTTTCACAACTGCCATGAGAAGCCAGTTGGTATTGGTAGTCAAACTGATTCAGGGTTTCCAGCAATGGACACAATGAATCTTCCTTCTGGAGTAGATGCATCTATGTCTGGGTGGCAGGGTTCTCCTGTATTTATCAACAATCCATCTTTTGCCAGTGATGGTTTCTATATTTCATCTGATGGTGTACATCTCTTTTCTGAGAAAGAGTCATACACCCCCTGGGTCCAGGAGCATGCTGACAGTCAAAAGAGTGCAACTGCTGCTGGAAGTTCAACTGACATATTTGGATCAACATCTACGATCAAAAAGCCTGGGAATGAAAATGATATTCTGACGAAGTTTCAACTTTTTAAGCAATTTGATGTTGTTCAAGATCATTCGGACCATCACTTTTCTAGCACAGGTTATTCAGTGATGCAGGTATGTACATTCTAAAAGATGCATCCCTTCATTTCTTTTCTTGATCTATGCTAATGTGAGTGCCCCAGTTGGTGTGAGCACTTGAAGTTCCGCCACGCTTTTTTGGTTTTCCCAAATTGCCCACACAATTGTTCACTAGCATTTGTTCTTCTCCTATGAAATTGGGGTAAGCATGTTATACCTACTCCTAAAATAATTGACTAAACAAGGCCCACATCTCATAAATGGTTACCACCATCTTCTATTTCTGCACACGAATCACGTGTGCCGCAACTTCCATCCCTGTAGTCTGACCCCTTTGGCACCCTTGATTAAGAGGGACCACATTGGGTGATTTCCTTTCCTTACATTGTTGTTTACCTTATTTTGACAGCGATCTTGGGCAAAGAAAATACAGGAGGAGTGGAAGATCCTGGAGAAAGATTTGCCAGGCAAGTTTATGATTGGTATTTGCAGTAATCAATTGCTTCACCTGGTTTTGGGGCCATTCTTTATGATTGAACCCTTATTGTTGTGTTTTGGGAGTCAAATATATAAGAAATTAGAGTTGCATATGGCCTGGGTTTTACTATTACTGATGCCACCCCCCTGCCTCACTTTTTACGCTGCTGTCTATTGTTGCTATTCATATGATTTTAACTTTTCAGTGGTGATTATAGATTCAAACATCTCTCACTTTCTGTTTGTTTTTCTATCACTTGAACAGATAAAATATTTGTCCGGGTTTATGAGTCAAGAATGGACCTTTTGAGGGCTGTAATTGTAGGAGCTGAGGGGACTCCCTACCATGATGGTCTCTTCTTCTTTGATGTTTTATTTCCTAGTGGTTATCCAAATGTCCCACCGGTAAGTAAGCTTTGTAGATTGTGCATGTCTTAGAGTTGCATACTTTCTTGTAGATTTCAGTCCTAACAACTAGGGAACTACTTGTGTCAGCATGTGCACTACCATTCTGGTGGTCTTCGAATCAATCCAAATTTGTATAACTGTGGAAAAGTATGCCTGAGCCTTCTTAACACCTGGAGTGGTCACCAAAGTGAAAAGTGGATCCCTGGTGTTTCAACCATGCTACAAGTTCTGGTTTCTATACAGGCGCTAATTTTGAATGAAAAGCCTTACTTCAATGAGCCTGGTTATGAAATAATGGGTGGGTCAGTAAATGGAGAGGAGAACTCCCAGCGATACAATGAAAATACATTTATCCTGTCTCTGAGAACAATGGTGTACACCATGAGGAGGCCACCAAAGGTAAGACTCCTGCTGTGCCTTTTTATTGCAAGTAGTTTGAGCCATTTGCGTTCAACGATTGGTTAAATTAGAATTTCATCCCCCACATACAATGTTGTAACCATGCTTGAAATATTTGTTTCTGAAGATTGCTAGAGAAAATGGTTTTTATCATTAAATGAAACCTTTGTCTATCATTAGAATAAACGCATGTTGTATCTAGTATAATTATTAACAGTTTGCCAACACCTACAATGTGAGAACTTTTGAGAGAATAAGTTTATAGAAAGAAAGTTCATCTGAACAGATGCCATCTCAAGAACTCACTGGGAAATAAAAATGAATATCAAGAACTATGAATTTGGATTACCTTTTGTTATGCAAAACCAGAAAGTAAATCCTAAGTGGCTGATTCTCCATTTAGAGAAATGCTAGACACCCACTATTCACCCACAATGACATGGCAAGGGAGTTGGGCATTATATGTTTGCTTTTATTTGAGTTGATTGATACACTTGCTGTTGGTTATATAATTGCTGGAATAACAGTAAACTGCATGATTCAACTACACAAATGTGCATATGTGTAGATAGGTTTAGGCATAGCGTATGGATTTTTCATTCAAACTGTTTTTGGCTGCAGGATTTCGAGGACTTTGTCATTGGACATTTCTACAAGCGTGCTCAAGATATTTTGGTGGCATGTAGTGCGTATATGGATGGCGCTCAAGTGGGGTGTCTTGTTAAAGGAGGGGTTCAGGATGTCGATGCAGGGGACAGGAGCTGCTCACAATATTTCAAGGTTGCTCTGGCTGGCTATATAACTGTGCTTGTGCAAGCTTTTTCACAAATTGGGGCAAAGGACTGTGAGAAGTTCCTTTCCCTTGTCGAGAAGGGAAGCAGTCTAGTATCATCACCCGTGCCCCCCATGGCTTTAAATCTTTTTAATGCAATGAATATGCAATTTTGAGACATCTCACCTTTTGCATTCTGCATGTTGAACATTAATGTGAAATAGTTTTGAGTTTTGATCTGGCAGTTTAGACTTGAATTAAGGAATTTGAAATGTTTGTTTTTGTATTGGGGTAATGTATATAGGTGTTGATATCAATGGTGGTTTATAGTTTTTTATTTTATTTTATTTTTATTTTAAAAACTCTGTTAAGTTAGTTTGTTGGTAAGATGTTATAGAGCTCTTACTCTACAATATTGCTTATCGTTTAGATTTGCTTATACAAATGCTTAATTTGGTAATTCATATAACAACTATTGCCGGTTATGCTAGCACATTTTTAGTGTATGATTTTGATGTGATTAGGTGTGTTCGTTAAATGTTAGGGTCATAATTTTAGTTGTGTCAATACTTAGGGGCTGACACGCTTAAGTTTTTTTTCTTTTTTATTTTTCAGTTTTTTTCCTATAAAATATATTAAAGTGGGTCTTATTTTTTCTGAACACATTCACTAAGCTAACAAAGCTTAATTCTCAAAGTTGAGTTTATTATTATTATTATTACAAATTGGCATATACTAATACACAATTTTAACATCTCTATTGGGAATTTGATTAGTTGTACAATTATTCATATTTTTGATGAGGGTCACATTAATGTAACAGTATGAAAATCTTTTGGTATCATAAATGTTACTTCTAATTTTGGGATTGTGAGTTCTATAAGAACATAGAAAAGCAACATTTGGGTAGGGATTTAGAAAAAGAAACGAAAAAAGTAGGTGAAATGCGAATAAAATATAATTATATCTAGAATATTTTTTTGCTTTTCATTTTCAAATTTCTATCCACATTCATGCTCTAAAGAGCCTAAATGCTTAAGAATTGTTTCAAGTTTACTCTCATTTTTGTTCTTTGTTATTGTTTCTTCTTTTAAAATCACAACGGAAAAAGCAAAGGGCAAACCTGTAGCCTTTTGTTTGTCCTTCTTCTATTTGTCTATAGTTTAATCTACATATATTCTAAGAATTAGAATCGTAGTACTTTGTTTTAAGTTGACAAATACAAAATTAAATAACAAATGTCACTATAAACAGTGTTCACTTCACTCTAGTAAAAAATAATGAGAAAAATCTAATTCGGTTGACAATTTTCTCTTCTTTATTTTCTTCGCCGTTTCATTTACGTTTTGGAAGGAAGTTTCTGATATCTTCTTTGGCATTTACGTCACAAAAATCGATCATATGTATATATACACATACATATGAACTGTATTTGCTTATGATCATCATAGATTCATAAGTTCAAGACTTGACACACTGATACTCTTGTGTCTTGTTCATCAAGAAAGTCAATGGTTGTGGCAATGAAGAAAGCATGGCTTATGATCTATCTCTTGATCACCATTTTATCTGCAACCTCAGTCTGTTCTTCAATCTCTGTCTCGTACTCTGATCACTGCTCTTCACTTGTCCCTGTATCAACCCCAACTGTTCCACCTGACACTTCCATATTCCCTCTCTTCCGAATCCTAAACGGTCACTACACCGGCGGTGAAAGAATTATTGGCAACTTCTCATCCCAATTCTCTGTCAACTCCCCAAAACAAGTCTCATTCCACCCAAGCCAAAACATCTTCAAAACCAACACAACTGGTGTTTACAAGATTCGAGCCTACTTGATCTTCAGTCGCTCGAGTGCATACTATTATCTTCCTCCCAATTCAACCCATGGCCAGCCTTACTATCATCGGTCAAGTCCATTGAAGTTTTCATTAGATGGGTTCTGGTCACGGAGCTCTAGAAAGCTATGTATGGTTGGCTCGGCTTCTTGGAACTCTGAGAAAGGTAATCCTCTCAATCTTGACGCGGTTCTTAAGCTTAATTATGCAATGAATTCGACTATTGTTACTAGTTTGGTTACCGGGATATTGGAGAGCTTGAGCTCTCCAACCAGTCCGAATTACTTCGAACCAATTTCAATCTTGGCATTTGTTCCTTCTAGTAACTACGTTTACACATTGGTTTCCGAGGAAGTTGATAACGGGTGTCTTGGTGGGATTGATTTTCCACAGAACCAATCGATTGGTATCCAATCAGGACATTTCTGTTCAATGCTATGGCGACCAATCAATGACTTCATGTTGGAATATCCCAATGAGTGCGTTTCATGGAAAAATTGTACTCCTCTTGGCCCTGGTATTGAGTATCTGCCTCGCCTGATGTCCCTGAGCACGATGCAGTGTTCTGAGAAAGAACGCAAGGTGCGATTCTCCATAGGATTTGGGAACAATAGCTATATTGGGTATTCCCAACCTTTTGATCCCACGATAACGTTTGTTGGAGAAGGATCGTGGGATGGGAACAAGAACCAGCTTTGTATGGTTGCTTGCCGGATCTTGAATTCTACCAATTCTTTGGCAAATGCTCGCGTTGGTGATTGTTCGCTCAGGTTGAGCTTGAGGCACGCTGCTTTCTGGACAATCAGAGACAGAACAATCATTAATGGTCAAATTTGGACTAACAAGACTGCCAATGAGTCAGGGTACTTCAACAGGATCAAATTTGGAAGCTATGAGAATAGGATGATTGGGGGTGTTTCAAGATCTATGGGTTTGAGATATGAGTACACTGAAACTGACAGAGTAAGAAAGTCATGCTTGGTAAAGAAGCAGCCTGCGAAGAAGAGGACGTGGGAGAGGTACCCAAAGGGGAATTCTTACGATTTGAGGTTTGACATGTCGGTTAAAGATTCCATGCGGAAACTTGCTTGGGGTTATGCAGTCCCCATCTTTGTTGGTGATCAGCGTTATGATCAATCTCTCTCATATTCAAGGTATGACAAATCTGAAGTCGAGGCAAACAAAAGTTTTATCGGCCCATTGAATATCAGCTACATTATCAGCATTGCAAGGTTACCTTCTTCCACACATGGGATTCCTTCAAGTAATTTATCTTTCATTCCCAAACGTGGAGTTGGTATTTCTGCTGAAGGAATCTATGATGATGAAACAGGGCAGCTTTGTATGGTGGGCTGTAGAAATGTTGGTCCAAACGATTCTAAGGACTGTGAGCTGCTTTTGAAATTCCAATTCCCACCTGTAAATGCAAAGAGAGGAGGGACTATCAAGGGAAGCATCGAAAGCACACGAAAAAAAACTGACCCTCTTTTCTTCAAGCATTTAAGCATGTCTTCAATTGCTTTCTACACTGGGGAAGCTAAGAAATCTGTGTGGCGAATGGACTTGGAGATCACCATGGTTTTGATCTCCAACACACTGGCATGTGTGTTTGTGGGATTACAACTCTTTCATGTGAAAAAAAACCCTGATGTGCTTCCTCTCACATCCCTTGTCATGTTTATGATCCTCACTTTGGGGCACATGATCCCTCTTGTGCTCAACTATGAAGCTATGTTCTTTGGAATTCGCAATCGCCAGAACGTGTTTCTTGGCAACGGTGGGTGGGTCGAAGTGAACGAGGTGATTGTGAGAGTGGTTACAATGGTGGCTTTCTTGCTTCAATTCCGGCTTCTCCAACTGGTGTGGACAGCACGTTTGGGTGACGAAAACCATAAGAGCCTGTGGATTGCTGAAAAAAAGACTCTGTTTGTGTCTCTACCATTATACATTATTGGGTTATTAATTGCTTGGCTCATGAATTTGGGGAAGAACAATCACAGCAATGCAATAATTTCTTCTTCTCTTCACCAACAGCACTCTCTTTGGGAGGCTTTGAGATCATATGGTGGTTTAGTCCTTGATGGGTTTCTTTTCCCTCAAATTCTCCTCAACACAATCAGATTTTCAAAGGAAAGTCCTCTTTCTCATTCCTTCTACATTGGAACCACCTTTGTTCGATTGCTGCCACACGCGTACGATCTTTACAGGGCTCAAAACTATGCTCGGCGCCATTTAGATGGTTCATACTTCTACGCGAATCCTAGCGCAGATTTCTATTCCACTTCTTGGGATGTCATAATTCCTTGCGGGGGAGTGTTGTTCGCAGCCATCATTTTCTTGCAGCAGCGATTTGGAGGCCGATGTATTCTTCCCAGGAGATTTAGAGAGGCAGAGGGATATGAAAAGGTGCCTATAGTGACCAGTGAGCAGTAGTGAGTCAAGTGCTAAAATGGAAATAAAGCTTATAAGATTTTCTGTTGCTTTACAAGTTGTTCTAAGTTGTATTTTGTGTCTTCTTGAACAAGAAAAAACTGCATAGTCTTTCCACTTGCAGTAAGCTTTAGTCTGTGTGTGTGTGTTCGTAGGTGCCACTGGTCTGTCTTACGTTTGTGGGTTTTGGTCTGCACAATGGAGATATGATAATTCTCATCTTTCTTGTTTTCATCTCTTTTCCATCATATAAACTAGTGAAACCGGTGCTATGCACGGGGTACGAAAAAATTAATAAAATATATTTATATAAAATAATATAAATAGTTAGATTTATGAGAAAAAAAAAAAAATTGAAACTTACAATTTAAGTTTTATAATTGGGTTTACAAATATAATCCTGAGATTTGATTAAAATATGAATCACCCTTGTGATTCTGGAAATTACATTTCACTATTTGAAATTTCTAATTTCATAACAAATCATTTATTTTATTAATAAATCACCAAGTCAATTAACAGTTTTTAATGATGTTAGAAATATGTTTCAATTAATAATTTAAGTAATTTTATTATTGTATAGGAGAGCAATTATAAATTTCATTTTTTAAGTTAATTCTGTTAAATTCAAAATTTTGATAAGGTGGTATTTGTAATTTTTCAAATCACAAGGGCAATCTACACTTTAAGCAAATCTCAGGGGGTGTATTTTTAATTACCCTTTATAATTTTATCACAATTTAAGTATCAATTTTTAATTTGTCACAACTTCAATAATATAACTTTCAACTACCTTGTAAAAGTTGTAAATTTGGGCGAGTTGAATCCAAGCAACTCAAGTTAGGCTCGTAAATTTTTCAAGATTGTGCAGCATAATTTTTAATTCGATGAGAACCTATGTAAAATTCAAAAATTCGAATAAATTTGAATAGATTTGGATAGAGACACCAAATACCTGAAAAATTGAAACAAAATTGTATATAAATATATAAAATTATTTACTAATTTATTTTTTTAATAATAAATAAGATTAATTAAAAATTTAATATTAATGAACAAAAGCGAATACACTTTTATTAAAAAAATTATATTTTATAATGACATAAAATAATTAAAATATGATTTTTCAAGAATTATTTTTAATTTAAAAATTACAATAAAATATTTAAATATAATAAAATTAAATTTCTACAAAATAAAAGTATATGTATAAAAAAAAGGTAAGAAGAAAATTTAGAATGGTATTCTCATTTGATTTGAAGGTAATTATAGATGACAAATAAATTCTCACCGATAACCCTCATTTTTTTTTAAATAAAAAAAGATATTTCACAAACCCCTACTTTTATTAAAAAAATAACATTTATTTATATTTGTTTTAGCAAAACTCATTTTTTAGCAATTTGAGCCAAAAGTTTTTCATTTTTTTATTTTAGTTTGTTTAATTGACCATTGAGATTAAAATAAAAAAAATTGACAAAATCCACCATATTTCACAAGTGCTAAAAAAAGTCTAGATGAATAATAAAAAAAATGTTTGAGATCTACAAAAAAAAATGTCCACAATTGTATCCATAATGATGTAGTATCATATGTGTCAACTCTTGATTTGCTATACACTCAATGACATGGGGCCAACTCCCTTGTCACATCATTGTGGGTGAAAGTGTAGGTATGTAGCATTGTTAGAACAATAAATTATCACATGTAACTCCCATTTTCTTCTTTTATTATATAAAAAAAATAGGTTTACCAACTATCACTTTTAATAGAAAAAAATATTTATTTCTATTTGATTTTAGCAAAAGTCAATTCTTAACTATTTAAGCAATACATATATATATATATATATAATTATATTTTAATTTGTTTTATTGACAATTGAGATAAAAAAAAAAAATAGAATCCATTATTTTTGGTAATTGTTAAAAAAAGTCATTTATTTTCTTAATGTTTTTGTATTTTATTAAAAAAAATATTTCTATGAAAAAAATTTATTGTTTAAGTCTTTGTAGTTTAGAAGGACATAATTTTTTTAATATAAACTTATGATAATTTTTTTATATAAACTTTGAATAGTGTAATTTACTCAAACCAGAAATGACAATTTACTTATAATACTTTTTGTAATTTACTTTTTGTCATTTCTGGTTTGAGTAATAGTGAAATGAGATCAATATTTTTGTCATTTCTGGAATAGTGATTAATAATATATTTTACTATAATATGTTTATATTATTAATATTTAAAAAATATTTCTATGAAAAATATTTTACTTTTTGCTATTTCTGGTTTGAGTAAATATGTGTCATTTTTTTAAATATTGACTTAAAAACCAGAAATGACAAAAAGTAAAATATAAACTTTGAATAGTGATTAATAATTTAAATATGTGTATTTAATAACATATTATATTTTGACCAGTAATATTATGACACATGTGAATATTGATCTCATTTCAATTGTAGTAAAATAATTAAAAAAATAATTTTATTTTATAATTTAATAAAAGATGCATAAATTAAGGAATAAATATTGATCTCCTTCTACTAACATAATTTAAGGAAGAATCTAAATTTAAAATTTTATTTTATGAATATAAAATTAATTTATAAATCAATCATATTGTGGCACATATTAACAAAAATTAAACAAAAAAAGAATTGCAACTTTAAACTTTAATAGGATGAGGTTTTAAAACTCCCATAATATTTATTCTTAAAAGCATTCTTTTGTAAAATATATAAATAATCTCAATGTCATTCTTATTGCTCATAAATACAAAAAATATGAGCTAATTATGATAATTTTAAATTTATATTTAAAACTTATAGAATCATTGGATAGATCATTATAATTTTAAATTTATACTGTGCCAATTTTAAATTTAAATAATAGATTGCTTTTCATATTTAGTAACTTTCAAATTTAAATTTTGAAATGGATTAGTATACTTTTCATTTTTTTTTAGATTTGATATACTTTTCATTTGAAATTCATAAATCAAGGGATATTAATTTTTATTTATTTATTTTTGCTTGAATAAGAGCTAGCCAATAGAAGATTTTTTTAATTTTTAAAAATCTAAAAAATAATGAAATTTAGATTGACAACTTGAAACTCCCACAAGACTTGTGGGTTAGAACCCCCTTTTCCTTATAAAATAGATAGATAGATATATAGATTAGGTAGATAGATTTAATAAGAATTTATATTTGTTTAGATGTTTTTTTAATATACAAATTATTTTTTTAGATTTTTTATAAAAATAATTTAACAATCCCATCACTAACCATCGTGTATGGGAGAAGTTGAAAAGGGTGTAAGTATGTGAGAAGTCAAAAAGGTTGGTGAGTTGGGAGAAGTCAATAAATGCTGAGGTATTTTTTTTTAAATCAAAAAATTAGAAAATTAGGATTAGGATATTGGAACTTCCACAAATCTTGTAGATTAGAAACCCCATTTTCTTTATATAATACTAGCATATAACCCGTGCTATGCATGGATTGTGTTTACAATCTATCTATATTATATATTAAGCAAAAGGGGGTTTTTAACCACAAGGCCTGTGGGAGCTCCAATATCACCATCATTATTTTTTTAGATTTTTTATAAAAATAATTTAACAATCCATCACTAACCATCGTGTATGGGGGAAGTTGAAAAGGGTGTAAGTATGTGAGAAGTCAAAAAGGTTGGTGAGTTGGGAGAAGTCAATAAATGCTGAGGTATTTTTTTTTTTAAATCAAAAAATTAGAAAATTAAGATTGAGATATTGAAACTCCCACAAAGCTTGTCGGCTAAAAATCCTCTTTTCCTTATATAATACTAGCCTATCACCCGTGCTATGCACGAGATAATTATAGATATTTATATTTGTTTTAGATTTTTTTAATATATAAATTATGTTTTTTTTAAGATTTTTTATAAAAATAATTTAACAATCTTATTACTAACCATAGTGTATGGGAAAAGTTAAAAAGGGTACTGCAATAACTATGCACAGGTTGTATCTATAATTATTTGTATGGGAGGATTTTAAATGCTGATCAGGGGATTTTGAGCAAACATGTGGATTGAAAAAAGTTAATAAACACTAATCAGGGAATTTTGACAAAATCAATAAATGTTGAGGTTTTTTTTTAAATAAAAAATTAAAAAAATTCAGATTGAGATATTGGAGCTCCCACAGAGCTTGAGGGTTAGAAACCCCTAAAACCATTCATAAAAGACTTTGGAGAATTTAATAAATGTTGAGCTAAAACAAAAAATTTAATTAAGTGAAACTACAATTTAATGGGCCAAGACATATATATATATATATATATTATATGTGGAATACACGCAGACATCATAATTCACTTATAATATGGCAGAATTTTTTATTGGGCCATGGGGACTCAATTAATAAGTTTGGTGTGCATAGTCTTTAATTAAAGCATTTAATAGTAGATGAGTTCACATTAGCCTACAGGCTTTGTTTCAATCATAGAGAATGAAAACTACAATTTAATGGGCCAAGACATACACACATATATATTTTTCATGTGGAATACACGATGGTAGAATTTTTCATTGGGCCATGAGGAACTCAATTAATAAGTTTGGTGTGCATAGGCTTTAATTAAAGCATTCTACCATATTCAATAGTAGAGGAGTTCACATTAGCCTATAGGCTTTCTTCCAATCATAGAGTAGAGCATTTAAAAGGAAGTCAAAAAGACTTTGGAGAATTTAATAAATGTTGAGTTTTTTTTTTAAGGAAAAAAATAAAAAATTTAGAAAATTCAGATTAGTATATTGAAGCTCCCACAGGCCTTTGAGGGTTAAAAACCCTTTTTGCTTAATATATAGTATAGATACATACACTACTAGAAATCAACTTTTTAGGAACAAATTTATTCCGTCCCTAAAAGTGTAATATTTGTTGGGAAAAAAATAGTAGATAAAATATTCCGTCCCTAAAAGTGTAATGAACAATTGACTATTAAATTAATCTCTCAATAAAATAGTAGATAAAATATTATGTGATGGCACACACATTAGTTTGCACATGATCAATTTATTTTTCCCTAGAGAAATAAGATTTTGAAACGTATGATTGAATTATCAAAATTTGAAAATTGATACATTTTATGAATTAAAAAGACTAACAGTTATGAGGTTTGAAAAAAAAAAAAAATTTTAATGGCATAACTACTCGTGTAATTACTATTGGGATATTTTTTAAAAAATCTAAAAAGTGAGACATCAAGACTAACTTTAGCCTTTGTATAAATATATGCAAAGAGGAATTGGTAGAGTTAATGGGGGCAACATTTGTCTTCTTGATTAACACATTTATAAATTCCCACTGCCAAACTAGGAAACAAGTTTTGAAGCAAACCAATTTAAATTCCTAATCTACTCAACAGTGTTTATTTGACAAAAAAAAAAAAACTACCCCCCCAATTGATAGACAAAGCTGACCCTCTTTCTTGAAGTCTACCTGATGTCATTGGTGTAGTCCTGACAACAACACAACAAGGTACCACAAGTTTCAGTTTGTCATCCTTCCTGTGGAAAGATAGACATCTGTCACACAAACAGGATCAATGACTCAGTATAGTCATTTAAACTTCAGCTGAGAAAATTATGGCAAATAAGATAATACATGCTATTACAAGATAATTTTTGTTTTCACCAAACTAAACAGATTTTGAAAACTGCTCAACCAAACAGAGCCGTTGAATTATTATGATTAAGACTAAAAGACAAATCAGGAATTCAATATTACTTTCAAAATGAAGTAATTTTGAATCAAACACTCACAAATATAAATTTTGTGACAAATGCAAAACGAATCAAACACTCACAAATATAAATTTTGCATTTGTCTCTCTCTCCACAATTACGGCTATTTCATATCCACAATTACCAAATCTAACACTCACAAATATGAATTTAAAACGAATCATATTATGATAATACATCATCAACACAAACACTGCACCAATAAATCGATTAATCACACTAGATGCTGAAATCAAAAACCAAATCAATGAGATTGAAATCGATTAATCGATCGACCCTGGATGCTGAAATCACAGTGGAGAGAGATGCTATGTTATCCCTTAATTGTTGAAATCAATGAGATCAGAAGAACACTACGATCAGTTTGTGCTCACAGCCATCAGGGATTCGATCGCGAGAGACAGGGATTGAAATAAAAAAACCACCGAGAACAATGAAATTAGGGCTTCGATAGAGAGAGAGAGAGAGAGAGAGAGATTGGTGTGGAGAAGGAAATGAAGTCCCGACTATTGAAATTGAAAGAATGAAAATAAAATAAAATAATGTATGAGTTGAGTTTATTGGGGACGAATCAAAATTGTAGGCAAAAAGTCATTAACTCTTTTGTAACCAAATAATTTTGTCTTAAGAATATAATAATATGATTATTTTATTTTATTTTTAAATTCTTTCATTTTATCTCTAAAAGTATAATTTTTACAGACAAATTATTTTTGTCTCTAAAAATTTGTCTTTAAAACCTTAGGTAGTGTTTGGTAGAGTTTTGTAAATGTGATTTGAGAGTATGAGTTGTATTTTGAGTTTGTGTGTTGTGGAATTATGATTTGAGTGTAGAAAATTTGTTTGGTAAAGATTTTTGAAAATAGTTTTGGAAAAGAGGTTTGATTTGAGTGGAAAATTATTGATGTGACATTTGATATGTGATACAAAAATTTACAACTCATAACTAAACATACCATAGAAATAGAAATTATACAACTAGTATCTACACATTAGGTCCATAATGGATTTTCTAAAAGTTGCCAAATCTGGACTCTTATCTATGTTTCACATTGCACTCGTGAGAATAGATCAAAGAGATCTCGGGGGTCCGAACTGTTTAACGCGCGCGGGTACCCCCCGGGCATGTTACACCTGTGCATCAGAGTTCTCTCTGCAGAGTGTAGAAAATTGATTTGAAAACGAAACCAAACATCATACTCCAACACACGGGTAGAAAATTGATTTCAGAGCACAACCAAACAGAGCCTTAAATTCTTGTAGTGAAGGTCAAATACTCGAAGAAAAGAGGATCAGTTTTTTTTCGTGTGCTTTCGATGCTTCCCTTGATAATCCCTCCTCTCTTTGCATTTACAGGTGGGAATTGGAATTTCAAAAGCAGCTCACAGTCCATAGAATCGTCTCTAAAAATTTGTCTTTAAAACCTTAAATTCTTGTAGTGAAGGTCAAATACTCGAAGAAAAGAGGATCAGTTTTTTTTCGTGTGCTTTCGATGCTTCCCTTGATAATCCCTCCTCTCTTTGCATTTACAGGTGGGAATTGGAATTTCAAAAGCAGCTCACAGTCCATAGAATCATTTGGACTGACCTTTCTGCAACCTACCATACAGAGCTTTCCTGTTTCATCATCATAGACTCCTTCAGCAAAAATTTCCACTCTACCTTTGGAAATGAAAGATAAATTAGATAAAGAAATCCCAGGGATTGGAGAATGCAATCTCATGATGCTGATCTCGTAGCTGATATTCAATGGGCCACTAAAACTTTTGTTTTCCTCGACTTTAGGCTTCTTGTGCGTTGAATTTGAGACACGCACATAATGGTATTGACCATAACTTTCATTACCCACAAAGATGGGGACTGCATAACCCCAGGCAATTTTTCCCATGGAATCTTTAACCAAAGTGTCGAAACTCATATCATAAGAATTCCCCTTCGGGTATCTGTCCCCCGTCCAGTTCTTCTTCCCAGGCCGCATTTTTGCCAGGCATGACTTTCTTACTCTGTCGGTTTCAGTGTACCCATATCTCAAACCCAAAGATCCTGAAACCCGGCCATTCCTATTGTCATAGGTTCCAAACGTGATCTTATTGAAGTACCCTGACTCATTAGTAGTCTTGTTAGTCCAAATTTGGCCAACAATGCTTGATCTGTCTCTGATTGACCAGACAGCTGGGTATCTAAAGCTCAACCTGATCGAACAATCACCAACATGGGGGCTTGCTAGAGAAGGGGTAGAATGCAGGATCCGGCAAGCAACCATACATAGCCTGTTCTTGTTCCCATCCCACGATCCTTCTGCAACTAGCAATGTCGTGGGATCAAAAGCTTGGATATACCCATTATCACTATTGTTTCCGAATCCTACCGAGTACTGCACCTTGTGTTCATACTCAGAGCACTGAATTGTGCTCAAGGACATCACAAGAGGCAGATACTCAATTCCCTGGCCAAGAGGAGTACAATTCTTCCATGAAACACACTCATTGGTATACTCCAACTTGAAGGTATTCATTTCCCGCTGTAGCATTGAACAGAATTTTCTCCGTTGGATACCAAGCGATTGGTTCTGCGGAATATCATTCCCACCAGGACACCCCCTATCAACTTCCTTTGGAACCAATTTGTAATTGTATTTAAATGATGAAACAAAAGCCAAGATTGAAATTGGTTCAAAGAAATTCAGGTCGGTTGGAGAGCTCAAGCTGTCCAATTTCCCAGTAACCAAACTAGGAAAAATAGTCGAATTCATTGCAAAACTAAGAACTGCATCAAGATTGAGAATCTTACCTTCTTCAGAATACCAAGAAGCCGAGCCAACCATACATAGCTTTCCAGAGCTCTGTGACCAGAACCCATCTAATGAAAACTTCAATGGACCTGTCCTGTGAGGATTCTGAGGATAGTGAGACCGGCCATGGGTTGAATTGGGAGGGCGATAAATGTAGGCACTCGAGTGCCAGAAGATCAAGTAGGCCCCGATCTTGTAAACGCCGGTTGTGTTGGTTTTGAAGATGTGTTGGCTTGGTTGGAAGAAGACTTGGTTCTGGGAGAATCGGTATGAGAAGTTGCCTAGAATTCCGTCGCCTCCTGTGTAATGACTTCTTAGGATTCTGAAGAGAGGGAACATGGGATTGTCAACAACAGTTGGAGTTGATTCGGGGACGAGTGAAGAGCAGTGATCAGAATAGGAGAGTGAAGAAGAGACTGAAGTTGCAGAGAAGAAGATGGTGATCGAGAGAGAGAGCCAGGTATAAGTTGATGATGTTTTCTTCATTGTTGTTGACACAACCATTGATTTCTTGGGAAGATGGCAAAGAAGATCAAAAACAAAGAACACTCTCTGTTACCAAATAAATGCTATGTGAAGTGTTCAACTTGTAATTTTCCCATTTCTTGAGTATGTTATATTATGGCCATTGAATATGATCAAAGTCCGTGTTTTTTACGTTGTTGGATGCACAACATTGCTATCAGACATTGACTAGGAGCGTAGTAAAGTGGTAATTACATCTGAATTAAATTAATGATGATTTAATATTGTATGTATATATTGTTGGAAAAAAATGGTTTTTTGGTGACTTTAATTAAATATTAAAGTGAGTCTCAACTATCTATTGTGTTGGGTCCAAGTGGGTCTAGATACTTTGCAATGAGATCTTTACACCACAAATAGTATAGCCAAAACCATTGAAATTGAATGATAAATTGTCCCATGAAGTTAGCTTCATGAAAGAGTTAATGGGGTTTGTAACTCCTGCCTTTATTGCAGAGTTTAATAGTACATTAATGGGGTTTGTAATTCTTGCCTTTATTGTATAGGTTAATGGTGCATTAGTGACCAGCCATAAAGGCTGGAGGCTTCTCCTCTCTTCCCAAACACAGAAATTGTTTATTCTATTCTTTAGTCAGTTTGCCAGAAAATTCCTACTGTGAAAGAGTGCTGCCATTGTTTTTGTTCGTTAAACTAGACAGAGGGTGCTTCTGCCGTAGCTGGTTTTGACCGTCGTATCCTGAGAGACAGACGCGGGGATTCCTCAAGCACTCGACCCGTGAGGCGGCGAAATCTGTTTTAAGAAAACTGCTACTGTGCAGGCTTCGGTTTGGTTTCTTTATCATTTTATTGTTTTGTGTATTTCTGTTGAAATTTAGTTGTAATTATCAATATATGTTTTTAGTATATAATTTTGATTTCTTCATAAATCTATTTAATTAATTTCACAATTTGAACAACAAGCTTAAAACATATTTATTTATGTATTTTCTATGAAATTGATCGAATAGATTTATATAGACAATCAGGTTAGCTTTGTATAATGTTACTAGGAACTGTTGCAGAATTGCTCACAATTTCAATGATTGTAAATTATGCAATGTTATTCTCTAATTGCTTAGTTTAATTAGAATGCTCTATCATAATTTGCATACTTAATTATATTAGTACGATCTTATTTTATACGTATGGTTCATCATTCCCCTACCATGTTTCGCATGAATTTTAAGGTTATAAAATATAATTTATGGATGTTGAAAGTTTTGACATGTTATTTAGTTTCTAGCTTTTAGTTTTCTTACATGATTTAATCTTTAGAATTTTTTGCATGTTAATTGCTAAACGGTTATTGGTTTCTAACAATTATGTATAATTCTTGCCTATTAATTTTAGTTTAATGTATTTGGAGTTATAGAGTTTTTATGAATTGTGTACATGATTAATCTGAATTATTTAATTGGGTGCATTAATCTGAATTATTTAATTGGGTGCCTTAATCTAAATTATTTAATTGGGTGCATTAACTTTGAATTTAATTTATTTATTTGGAGTTATTAGTTTAAAATGGTTTCAATTATTTATTATATTTATTTTTTGCTTAGATTATTTGTTTGTATTTTGTTGTGATTTTTTCTGCTAACTTTCTTTACAGGAATCCTTATGCAAAAGGGAATGGAAAATCAAATACAAAACCAAATGCATAGTATTTGGGATGTAAAAATAAAAATATTTGGACTACTAACTTTTGTGTTGAATAGGAATACCTAAGCGTGGAAAGGCTTTTGGACTAAAATAGAATCCTTATGGATTTGCTATTTTATTTAAATGGTTGAAGCATTTTTTACTTGAGATTTAGTTGGTTTGTTTACCAATTTGTAGTAGCAAGTTTTATTTGCTTGTATTATTAGAAGCATTTTATATGCATGTATTTGGTTGTAGCAATTTTTAAATTGCTTGTAAGTTTGGAACTTGGTTTGGTTTTCTGGAATTGAAACCAAAGTGTTTAGCCTTGGCTAAAGATGAGTTTTTATTTGTTCAGAAATGACAACTAAGACGGATTTGGTTTCAAATCTTTGGGTTTGAGGAAATCTTTTGGTTATAATCTGATTATTTCCAAAGCGTTGTGATTTTGAGAAAAGAAATCCAATTTTAGCATTAGTTAAAATATCTCTGATTTTTATTCAGAAATCATGGGCTCAGTTCCGGGAGTACCGGTTAACATTTATGAGTGGTGTAATTCTGGTAGCAAATTTTATTTGCTTGGAAATTGGTTTGTTAGAACCTGATTTATCCCTTGGAAATCGTAATTTTAAAATTGTTTCCCATGGATTAGGAGTCAACATGCTCTTGGATGTTTTGTCAAAAGGTTAACTGGGTTTTAAGTGGGACCATTGTGACCCCTCCAGTTTTCCTGGGAACATTCCTGACCATGATTCTAGATTAAATGGTGAGACTAGTTTTGAATTAAATTCCCATCTGAGGAATTTTCTAAGGATTAAGTTTAATTTCTGGAATCACAGAAGTGAAATTCTGTTGTGATGTTTCAGAAATGGCTTCAAAATGTGACAAACAGAAATGTTGTTCCACCTGACAACCTTGGCCTCGCGAGATTCTTAAAGGAAGATCTTGAGAGATCAAGTATGATTAAAGGAAATCATAAGATTGCATTAAAATATCTCTGAATTGATCAGAGGCAATTAGTATGGTATCCTTGTGGTATTTATAGCATTTATAATTGCTATGTGACTTTGCTTGAAAGCAAAGTTGAGACAACCTGTTGTAGTAGGTGAATATTTTTTGGATTTTTAAATTCTAAATATATTTTTAAATTGGTGGCTCCTAGTGAGTATAAGATCACTGATCACAGAGATAGAAAACTGGTGGTTCCTAGGAGGTGTTAGACCACTGGCTACACAGTTATGAGATTGTGGTTCCTAGTAGTGAACAGATTACTGATCACATGTCAAGACATGATGTGACAAACAGAAATGTTGTTCCACCTGATCACTGATCACAGAGATAGAAAACTGGTGGTTCCTATGAGGTGTTAGACCACTGGCTACACAGTTATGAGATTGTGGTTCCTAGTAGTGAACAGATTACTGATCACATGTCAAGACATGATGGTTCCTAGTAGTAGAGAGGCTATTGGTCATATGTCAAGACATGATGATTCCGAGTAATGAAAGAGTCTATTGATCCTATGTTAGGACGTTGTGATTCCTAGTAGTAAAGTGACTACTACTGATCACAGGTTAAGACATTGTGATTCCTAGTAGTAGAAAGTCTACTGACCACATGCTGAGAAATTAGTGATTCCTAGTGATAAGACTACTGGCCATGTTATGAAGTTCCATATAGTAGACTATTGAACACTGGATTTGTGTTTCCTAATAGTAAGACTATTGGCTTCAGAGTGATAGGTTGGATCAAATATATTTGGGTGCCTAATTCGTTTGATGACATTCTGGGAATGTATTTATTGTGATATGATTTTGAGAGTTTCATAATCATTGTGACACAAGGAATTGTTTAAAGACCCTATATGAATTTTTAGAAAAGGCCAAAAGCCTTTGTATAAATTCTACAAATGCGGGGGTGTCATGCAGAAGGCAGGAATACCTAAACCCAAGAGGGTTAGGATAAGCCTAAAATCCGTTGACTTTGTATTCAACGGTTATGCACAATATAGCAGTGCATATCAATTTCTTGTGGTTCAGTCTGCTATTCCAGATATATACAAGAATACTATCATGGAATCAAGAAATGCATCTTTCTTTGAAAATGTATTCCGAGTTCCATGAAAGAGGTTGGAAGTGACAATGATTACATAGCTAATCAAACAAATTATCACTTGCGTGATCAAGTTGATGATCAAGCTGAAGATGTAGATAAGCTAAGAAGGAGTAAAAGGGCTAGGATGTCCAACTCTTTTGATCCGGACTTCTTGGCTTATATGTTAGAGGGAGAACCTCGAACTTTCCATGAAGCGGTGACTTCACCAGAAAGTCTCTTATGGAAAGAAGCGATCAAAAGTAAGATTGACTCCATCTTACAGAACCATACCTGGGAGTTGGTAGATTTACCTCCAGGTTGTAAGCCTTTAGAATCGATTTTTTAAAAGAAAGATGAAGGCTGATGGGTCTTTTGACAAGTATAAGGCGAGGCTCGTTATCTGTAACAACCCTCATACTGTTTACCGACTGATGACTGATTGATTACCGATAACCATCGATTACCGTTAAACTGAATTGATTATGACTGATAATTGAACTGATTAAAGTACTGAACTGACTGACTGAAATTGGAAACCGAATTGATTGAGTAGAAATCTACATGGAGCAACCTGAAGGGTTTTCAGCACCAGGGAAAAGCAAGAAAGTCTGTAAACTTGTCAAATCTTTGTATGGTTTGAAGTAATAGCATGAGAAGTTTGACAACGTAATGTTGTCAAATGGGTTTAGAATCAACGAATGTGACAAGTGTGTTTATGTCAAAGACACTGACAGAGGTTATGTCATTATGTTGATGATATGCTCATTATAGGTAGCAATGATGAAATGATCAAAACTACTAAGAAGTTGCTAAATTCTAAGTTTGACATGAAGGATATGGGCATTGTAAATGTTATTCTGGGAATTAAGATTACTAGAACATCTAGCGGAATTGTACTTTCTCAGTCTCATTATGTTGATAAGATACTTGAGAAGTTTAGTGGATCAGATACGAGTGTGTCATCGATACTTGTAGACTTAAGTCTACATTTTACCAAGAATATTAAAGAAAGTGTCTCTCAGTTAGAATATTCTCGGGTAATTGGAAGTTTTTGTATCTGATGAGTTGTACTAGGCTGGATATAGCTTACTCGGTTAGCAGGCTTAGTAGATACACAAGTGATCACGATGCTTCTCATTGGAAGGGCATTGTGCGGGTGTTAAGGTATTTACGCTACACTCGGGATTATGGGCTGCATTAACACCAGATGGATGTAAAGACAGCTTTCTTAAATGGGGATTTGAATGAAGAAATCTACATGGAGCAACCTGAAGGGTTTTCAGTACCAGGGAAAAGCAAGAAAGTCTGTAAACTTGTCAAATCTTTGTATGGTTTGAAGTAAGCACCTAAACAATAGCATGAGAAGTTTGACAACGTAATGTTGTCAAATGGGTTTAGAATCAACGAATGTGACAAGTGTGTTTATGTCAAAGACACT